AAATCAGTTTTTATATAGTTGCCTTCTGCTTTTGCAAGTATCCCCTAATAAAATGAACTACCTGTCGTAAGGCAAAGCCCGAACAACCTTTGAATCGAATTGCTTCTCGGTTTCTGCCCCACAACAGCTTAAGACGTGCAACCAATTTCTATAATACTCCACGATTTGATTGCTTTAAATGCTTGAAACGTGTTGGCAGAACCACACAAACACACACACACACACAGACAGAAAGAAATACAAATTTGAAGTCAATTGATGTAATCTATTAGTTACAGATGTAAATGTCAGAAGTACTTAAGAAAGTATCTCAATTTCTTCCGCTCAAGCGTCGGCGAGCTAAATGTGACATTTATTTTTATCTCTCCAGCAATACCAATAGCTATTTGGCTATTTTGCGGCAACAACTTGGCGTCGACAAGCTGCCTAACGCACCTGACAAACTTGCTTTAATGTATGTCAAATCTCAGTGTGCGCCAAGACAGAAGAAGAAGAAGAAGTAGTAGTAGCAGAAGAAGATGAAGAAGAAGATGTTTGGTAGGTAGCATCACCGCAGCCGTAAAAAACAGCGGCCTCTTTTCGACATTTGAGTGACATTATTTGTGTCAACAATAAAACACTCAAAAAGCGTGTTAGTCAAAGAGAGAGAGCGAGAGAGAGACCAGCAGAGAGGAATACAGAATGAGAGAGAGAGAAAGAGGACTACAGATATTGCTAGACAAATGGAACCAGAAACTGAACCCGATGCGGACAGTACAATTTAAAATTCAATAAAACTTCAATCAGCATTTTGGAATGTGTGTATTGGCGCGAGTGTGTGTGTGTGTGAGTGAGTGAGTGTGGCTGTACGTGTGTACACATTGGCACGCCCAGCAACGACGACAGCGCCCAGCAATTTAAACAAATTGAAAGCAAGCGCAAATAAAAAACAGTTTGTTGCCACTTTTCACATCAATTACGCACTTCAGCCAAAACAGACGACGACGATGACGACGACGACGGCGACGGCGACGGCGATGACATCGTTGTCAACGCCGAAGACGTAGAAAACCGAAGCACTGGCCGCTTTCCTAAGGACGAGACGACGAGATGTCCTCGTTGGCGGCTGCTTCTAGCACAAAAATAACACTTGAAACTAAACGCGCATTCAGGCGACGACGTCGCCAGCCGGCAGCGCAGTTGTTGGGCGTGCCACACCCCACACAAAGCAAAGCAAAGCATACCGCCCTCCCACCCCCCGTCCGGCAACAACAATTTTCGCCTGCGTACACGGCGTTTTTTATGCGCCAACTGACAGCCCCTCGGTTCTAGCTACCTTGTCTCGCCCTCTGCTCGCCCCTTTCCACCACCTACCGCCCACGGCCCACCGCCCGTCGCAGCCCGTTCCCAGCCCCATCGACCTACACAGAAACCCAAACCTTCAGAATTTGAATACGTGTGCATTGGTGTGAGCTTGCCTCTATGTGTGTGTGTGTGTGTGTTTGTGTTTGTATGTGTGTGTGTGTTTGTCTATGTTTTCGTTTGCGAAAAGCGAAAGTAAATGTTTGAAAATCGTAAGGAAGGAAAAATCAAGTAAGCATCAAAAAAAGCGAGTGAAAAAAAAAAACAACAAAAAAATAACGGATATTTATCTTTGACGAAGATTATATGCCCTTGACGGTGGGGTCTATTAAAATGATTGAGCATTTGCCGAATGCACGTCGCAAAAATTTATGATTCGCCATTAACTAAAGATAACATTCTCGCCTGCATAAACATGATATATGTATATCATTTAGGCTTCGAGGCGCATTGAGTATATACAATTGATTTGCGATTAGCTTCTGCTCATACTTTGAATAATTTAAAATGATTTATTTTCTACTGATAATCGAAAGTTTAAGTTATGGATGATGGGTGTATAAAGTATTTGGCAACAATTACTTAGAATGAGTATTTAAGAATAACTTAAAATTAGTTTCGATTGAGAATTGATCTTAATGGAGTCTTAGTTATATTCTTTAGTTATACTAATAATTATAATAATATCAAATTTAAGCTTTCAGCTAATCTAATATCAATAAGTATATGCAAATATGAAATCTACTCTTAAAGAAAATATATTACACATATAACACTTATATATAAGTAACCCCCTTTCCGGGTACTACAATTTCATATAAAACTCCCCCAAAAAAATGAGGAGAAGAAGATAACGAAGTCAAGAAGCTTTGAACTAATTCCTTTCATAGCCACTCCCATTGACACATTGCCATCTTCAAGTGAGATTCAGAGTATCCTTTAGTAGAGTATGCAGAAACAAATATAAAAAAAAAGCGAAAAAAAAAATCAAGTAGAGGAAAAAAAATCCAACTTGGTTTTTATTGCGCGTGATAACAAGCGGGGAGTTGCGTGGAAATGGGAATGGCAATGGGAGTGGGAATGAGAGTGGAAATGCTAGTGGGAATGGGAGTGCGACTGGGTCTGGGTCTGGGTCTGGGCACTAGAGCTGGATAGACATGGGCACTGGGTTTTCAGCTTGGCTGGGCTGGGCTGTGCTGCTCTGGACAGCGCTGTTTGATGTTATTATAGATGACGATGATGGCGATGACGACAGCGTGTGGCACACACACACACACACACACACACACACACACAGTGAACGAAGTCAATGATGATTTTTGCCTTCTACTTCGGCCTCAACTTTGACTGACTCGGAGAGCTGCCAATCAGAGGCGACGCGGCAAATGTCTTCTTGTTCTAGCGCATGTTTCAGGTTGTCAAGACGGCGTCAAGTACCAGAATGGGCATGTGTGTCAGTGTGTGTGTATGGCCATTACTTTGTTGCCTAGGCATTGCTATTGACAATAATTCCAGGTAAGTTAACTTGACGCTGTCTGTTTCAGCTCATAAATCTCAACAAGTCTGCATCTGCCTTTCATAATTTATATATATGCGCATATAAAATAAATAACAATTTGAACTTGTACCCAGAAATTAAGCAATGAAAAATAGGGTTTTCACACAAAAATCTTAAGTATATAGCAAACGAAAATTTGAAAAAAAAAAATATTAATAATAATTATAATTAATTAGACCAAGTAAAACCCTAGTGAAAAATTTTTCACACAAAAATATTAAGTATATGCAGTAATAGATAGCAAACAAATATTTGAAAAAAATAATATAAATAATAATAATTAATTATTAATTTGACCAAATAAAACCCTAGTGAAAAATTTTAAAATTTTGTTCTATACATTAAAAAATATATTATGAAAGGTAAAGTGTATTAGAACTTTTTCTTATGCTTTCAGGTAGGTCGGTGCTTGCTCCTGTCTATCCTCTCGAAATACTGCTGCTCTGCTGCCCACCTTATTTTGCAATTTGATTAAGGATATTGAGTAGAAAATTGGCTGCAAAGGTATTTGGCCGCCTTTCTAATAAAATTCACTGGTTAAAAGGAAAAGGTATATGTAGTTTTCATTTAGTACATTCGCCCACAGCTGCTGCTGCCGCAGAGCAGCAACTGAAAGGTCAATGAAATAAAAGTCTGGTTAGCAAATAGGATATTCCATGGAATCGGAATGGCCTCGACTTAAATTCAATACAAGAAATTACTTTGGAATATAATAATGCGAATCGTGCAATTAACATTAATTTTGATGGGCGCCCAAAATGTATTTAAATAAGCCAAAGGAATTCGTTGAATAAACATGAATTCAAATAGAGGCAAATTCCTATTACGCGCCGCTATGCCGAAGTAATTATAAGAGAAAAGCGCGAGTACATTTCCACGGCAGATATTTAAGTGAAATTTTCTTTATTTTTATTCTTTACCTGCTTCCGCTGTTGCTGCCATTGTTTAGGCCACACACAGATCAGAGCTGGCAAAGCTCCTGCTGCTCCTGCTCCTGCTGCTGCTGCTGCTGCTGCTGCTGCCACTGAACAATATGCAATAATAACAATTTACATATTCATGAGCCGCTTACGCACACAAACACAGTGAAAACACGGCAGCAACAGCAACAGCAACAACAACAGCAATAGAGGGGGCAGAGTTTGCATAAAGAGCAGCCGCCGCTTAAAAGAAAAAACAGAAACCGAAACAACTCCCAATTCGAATAGCCCGGCCCGAGAATAGCAGAGACCTTTTGTTAAGCTCTGTAACTGTAGATGGCCAAATATTTATAAATGTTTATTTATTTTGTTCATATACAAATATATGTGCATATACATTTTCATGATATTTGCTTGCGGACGGAACTGCCAACTGCCAACTGCCAAATGGAAATGGGGGCCCTGGCCGTTCGTTTGATGCCTGCAAATTATATATGCAGCGTATTTGATTTCAAATTTGTTGATTTCAATATGGCCAATGATAATACGAAAAGGGAAGAAGATGCTACAAGTAACATCAATTTTGCACTGGGTCTTGTCTTATTTATAGTTGTCAACATGAGTTAGCAGGCACTGTCTGTTCGTGTGTGTGTGTGTGCGTGCGTTCCTTGGGGAGTTTCTGGGTCAGCGCCGTTGGCTATGAATTGCAAATGAAAGGCAATTCTCAAAATAGCCGTAGTTATGCGAAATTTTCGAGGCTGTGGCTGTGCGGCAGCTGAAGCTGCTTTTGGTTGCTCTTAGCTTCTGCTCTTTGATAATCTCAGCAGAACCTACCACAAAAATAAATCAAAACAGCGAGCAGCGAGCAGCGACGCCGGCAGCGACTGAGGCGTGCACCAAGCCAAACAAAAAAGAAAAATTCACGAAGAGCCGAACGAAGATGTTGGCGCTGTTCTCGCTTTGCAGCATCCACATTCCGACGGAGTCGGCGCTTCCATCGATTTTGCTCTCGCTCACGAGTTGCTGCCCGCTCTCTCACTATCGCTCTCTCTCTTTCTCTCTCGAACAATGGCTGTGGCAGCGCTAGCAGCAGCAGCAGCAGCAGCAGCAGCAGCAGCAGCTTTTGTGGACGCGCTGGACTCTTTGGCATGCTCAGCCAGCCAGTCAGTCAGGTACAGACAGTTGACGTGTGCGGTTTGTGCAGCGGCTAAGCGCAACAGCAGCGTATCGAGATAGTCATAAACAGAAAATACACAAATTGCCTGCAGAGCGCCCATCGAGTGGAAGAAGAAGAAGAACAACAACAAGAGGAAGAGCACAGCACATGTAATACTCGTGTGTGATAAAATGTGAAACACAAACAACAACAGCAACAGCAACAGCAACAGCAGCAGCAGAAGCAGTGACAATAACAACAACACGGCAAAAGTGTCGCGCGCGTGTAACTGTGAGTGTGTGTCTGTGTGCCTGTGCCTGTGTCTGTGCCTGTGTGTGTGTGTGTGCGAGCGCTGCGTGTCACATATCAGCTAAAAAGAAAGCAAGCATACAAAAAAATACAGTGGAAAACGCGCAGCGCAGCGACAGAAAAATTCGTTCAACGGCAACCGCCGCCGCCAACGCCGAAGCCGCCACCAACAGCAGCAGCAGCAGAAGCAGCAGTAATAACAGCAGCGACGCCGACAGCGACGCCAGCAGCAGGTAGGGCGCAGCATTAATTTTACAGCAAGAGCAAGAACCGAGTGCTGGCAGCATACTCACCACACCCTGATCCTACAGGAGGCAGCAGCAGCAGCAACAGCAGCAGCAGCAGCAGCAGCAACACCAAGAACAACACGCGGCAGTTGCGCAAAGAGCAGCATGCGCTCTCTTTCGATACGCGCTTCTCTTCTCTTCTCGCACACTCGGCTCTCAGCTGGTCTGCACGTGGAGCCTGTGCAGAGCAATTGGCATCCCAGTTGTGCTGAGTTTTTGGTTCAGTTGCCTTTTGTAATTTTTCGTAGCATACTTTTATGCTGCTGCTAGCTCAGCAATTTCTTTGCTGCTGTCGCTATTTATTGTCCCAGTGTCTCTGTGTATGTGTGTGCGAGTCTCTGTGTGTGTGTGCGAGTGCGAGTGCGAGTGCGAGTCTGTGTGCTAATTGTGTTGGCCAATTTTTGAGCGTTGGCTCCCGCTTGGCGAAAATTGATACAATGTGTAAACAAAACTAAACAATTACGTGAATCGAAATTGAATTTTCTTGAACAACTGACCTTGCGGCCATTGAGATAACGATAACAGCAGCTGAAGCTGTGCCACAATTAGAGCAATGGGCGGCTGCTTGATGGGCAAAGCCAATAAAAATGTAGGATAGTGTGTCAGCAAAATACACACAAACACACACACACACACATACACATACAGGCTGAGATTGGCATGCCATGTGCGGCATGTGTACGTGTAAATGACCGGAAACTGTGCTCAAGTGCCTAGGCCAGTCCCCCTCCGCCCCCCTCCGCCCATCCTCCAGCAATCCTACCAGCCAATCGACTACTTCACAGTAGTTCTGGCTGAGTTCTTGGCTCTCTACTTCTCTTTTTTGTTGTTGTTGTTGCCTTTGCTACTGTCTTGGGGCAGCACTTCAATTGTCAAATTGTTCTTGTTTATTGTTGCAATAGTTTTGTTGATGGACAGGTTTGAGTCCACTGACTGCTCCATGATGCTGTGTGTGTGCGGTGTACACTCTGCTCGCCTTTCACTTGTTTTTAAAGTGATTTTCGCAGACGTAGTCGCTTTTTATGGCGCTTGTCGTTGACGTTGACGTCGTCTCCGTTCGCACAAGCAAAACAAAACAATCAACACGGAAGTCTTTTTTCGTTGTTTGCTTGTTGTTATTCTCGTTCTTTCTTCCATTTTGCTTTCTTTTATTGTTGTTATTGCGCTCAGCATGTGTGTGACTCACTATCTTTCTCTCTCTCACTCTCTATATATGAGTCTGTGTGTGTGTGTGAGTGTAAATCAACGTGGCCTAGTGCGCTGCTTGAGGTTGACGTGCGCGGGCTTTTGTGTGTACGATTTCTTTTTCTGCTTTTTTTTTTTTTTTTTTTTTTTTTGACTCAATCTTCTGTCAGATTAGTGTTTTTTTTTTTAATTTTCGTTTTCAGTTTAAGCCAGTTGAACTATTGGTGATGCGTATAAAGACGTCATAGCTGCTAAGCCATTCAGAAATTCATTTAGCACTGTCAATTGCTGGAACGAAATGTCAAGCAAAAAAAAAAAAAAAAAAAAATTACCATAATAATAAACAAATAACAGATACTCTAATAAATATATAGCTCTCATTAACACAAAACATTTTTGTTAAGTATTTCGTACTTTTATTTTTCATTTTTTATACCCTGAACCCATAGAAAATGGGAAATCAGGGTATAATGGTTTTGTTAAAAGTATGTAACA